CTTCCCCTTCTGGTGAGCAGAAATAATTCGTCAGTAAATTTTGCACAGATTTGGCATTTCGTGAATAGTTATTGCTTCCTTGTCGTGAAATTTGTTGCAGACCCGTGTCTCCTTCTGTCAAAGATTGCCACCCTCCTGGCAGGTTCTGTCCATACCTATAAAAATTTCTTTAGTTATAACATTTTAGGTTATCAAACACTGTGGCAATTTCAGAACTGTATGCAATCTTGATAATTTTTATAATTAGTTGTATTATGAATGTTTTTATGCAGTGCGGTGTTTGAAATTAAATGAGATATGATCTTCGCACTTAGCTGGACAATTTAAGCAATCGTCTCAGGACCTGAAAAAATCAGGTGACTCATTGAACCCATGACGGTGCGGTGCAGTGCTCTGACCACTGAGCTATGAAGTCACACAGTGGTGAGCAGGTCAATATTGTTGGGCTCATGTTTTCTCGTGAAATGAATGTTATATGAATGTTTTTATCCCGTTGAGTCACCTGATTTTTTCAGGTCCTGAGACGATTGCTTAAATTGTCCAGCTAAGTGCGAAGATCATATCTCATTTAATTTCAAACACCGCACTGCATAAAAACATTCATATAACATTCATTTCACGAAAACATGAGCCCAACAATATTGACCTGCTCACCACTGTGTGACTTCATAGCTCAGTGGTCAGAGCACTGCACCGGCACCGCAGAGGTCATGGGTTCGAATCCCGTTGAGTCACCTGATTTTTCAGGTCCTGAGACAATTGCTTAAATTGTCCAGCTAAGGAAGATCATATCTCATTTAATTTCAAACACCGCACTGCATAAAAACATTCATATAACATTCATTTCACGAGAAAACATGAGCCCAACAATATTGACCTGCTCACCACTGTGTGACTTCATAGCTCAGTGGTCAGAGCACTGCACTGGCACCTCAGAGGTCATGGGTTCGAATCCCGTTGAGTCACCTGATTTTTTCAGGTCCTGAGACGATTGCTTAAATTGTCCAGCTAAGTGCGAAGATCATATCTCATTTAATTAGTTGTATTATCATGCACATGTCATATAATGACTAGTGGTAGATGCTTAAGATGATAAGACCATAACCAACTGACTTAAAATTAGATACAGGCATTCAAAACTTGCATATACTATAGTAACTATAAGATAAAATATACTAAGAGAAAAAAAACATCATTTTATAAGCTCGAGATTTAAGTTATTTTAACAGGAGAAAATAGCAATTATACCTGTCTTCTGTGTCAACAAATCTAGCTGGGCAATACCTTTTTGATGAATTAGGAATACCGAATTCTTCTAACATCAGGTAATTGTGAAGTGCACAGACTGCTTTAGTTATACTTGCCACCTTTTTACCTGAAGCCATTATAGGTCTTCTTAGCACTCTCCACATAGCTGCAGTGATTCCTAATGCATTCTCAACAACTTTCCTTGCTCGTGACAGACGGTAATTGAATATTTTGAGCTTTTTATCAAGAAATTTTCCTGGGTAGGGTTTCATCATCCATGGTTTAAGGGGGAATGCATCATCAAGCAGTGAATAAATATGGGCAAACTTCTGTTGATTTATTTGGAATGGGATCTGCAAATGGTAACTTTAAACTGCCATCTTCAATGGCTCTTCCAAATTTAGACTCTTGTAGCTAAAAAGCGAAGAGTAACAGCGAAGCGTTCTTCAGGACTCACAGGCTCGCGGTATAAAGAATTCTTTTTCAAGTATGGCCCAACCAGACCAAGAAGTAAATCAAACCGCGAAGGGGTCATCGGAAAGTATTGATAAAATGATTCAGGTTCATTTAACCGCATTTCTTGAATGAGCCGATGGTATTCCCCCAGTTCTTTTCGCCCCTTTAAAATATCTTTAATCCAAAACCTTTTTTTCTATTTATTCCTTCGTTTTTGTCTTTGGCGAAGCAAAAGTAGAATTGCTAATTTTCGCTCCTCTTTCGACGCCATTTTGAATTGCAGCACGCATTAAATTTATGCACAACGCAAAACGCAGCACTGGAGATTAAAAATCCGTGCGTTTTTATCCATGGATGTACGCACGGAAAAAAACGTAACAGTGGAAAGCAGCCTTTACAAGGATAGAAATATGAAAGTTAATGCTTGGAAACAATTGGCTGTGTTATTTCAAAAAGATGGTGAGTGCTTGGCTACATTTTAATATGAATATTTATGGCACATGTCATGATAGTTTAGTTACTACCTTTGTGATAGCAGTGACTAAGAATATTTAAGTGAATTTGATTATTTTCTTTCAGTTTTATTTCTGCAGAAGACATTGAAGAATCTAAAAGATAACTTGAAAAGATGTCTTGATCGAAGAAAGGCTCTAACCAGGTCAGGTGCAGCTTACACAACACTGCCTACTTGTAAATACTTCAACTTGATGAAATTTTTACATGAGAAAACAGATAATAAGGCGACAGACAGCAATATTGTTCATCCAGATGTCATTGACAATAGTTTGTCAACTCATACCGATCATCAAAGTTTTATTTCTTCTTCACCAAACTTAATCAATGCTGTAGCACCATCTCCACCAAGTGCATGTAGTTCTGACACATCATCAGAACCATCTGAAGCAAGAAAACGCTGTAAACGAAAGTCATCTGATGCATCAACCTATGGAAACTCAGAAGTTGTTTTCTTGAAGCAAATGAAATTCCTGGATGATCGAATAATTGAGTCTCTAGATGGGAAAAGTGCAGAATCTTCTGAAATATGTGAGGATACTTCATTTTGCCAAAGTCTAATTCCAGTATTGAAAGGGTTACCCTTAAAGAAGAAAAGACTTGCAAAAGTAAAGATAAACTCTTTGCTTTATGATATTGAGTTCTCCAATGAATATGACAATATCTGAACACAAAATGAAAGACAGGTTGGTTTAGTTATGTTTGTGATGAAGAATAAATGAAGCTCTTTATGTGTTTTCGTTGGAACACAGCATTATACATGAGTATTGTTTTCACTGTCACTTTTGTATTTTGCAATTTTTTATATCAAGTATAACTTTTTCATGAATTACCATCAATTTCATAAAAAATAGATAGTTGAGTAAAAGAAGATGTAAAATGGGTTGTAAAATGATTATGATAATGAAAAAACAAAAGTAAACATTGGTGCATCTAAATTCGCTGCAAATAACAAGAAGTATAATCATGCTTTTATTAGTATAATCATGCATAACCAAATGGGAGACGATTGAATTTGTATCTGCCAAAAGGCGTATTGAATGTTGTAAGATAACTGGAATCTTCATCTAGAGGTATCTGCCAGAATCCAGAGGCTGCATCGAATACGGAGAAAATTTTAGCTCCAGGTAGTCTTGATACGACTTCTTCTATTGTTAAGAGAGGGCAATGTTCTCGCTGAATGGCTTCATTAAGATGTCTAGGATCAATACATATTTGTAACTTGTTTGGTTTTTCCACTGTTACCATTGACAAAACCCATTCCATAGGTTTTTCTACAGGATCGATGACACCCATCTGTTGCATTCGTTCTAACTCTTCTTTAATTTTCGTTCTCATAGCTACTGGAACGCGTCGAGGAGGATGAATTGTAGGTTTTACATTTGGATTGACACTGATATGATGTTTAATGGGTAAACATCCTAGTTTGCCATCGAAGAGATCTGAATATTCATTGAGAATATCGTCGCTAGTGAAAATAGGTTTGACATCTTTAATTCTTTTCACCATACCCAAACGCTCGCAATCAGGTAAACCAAGAATAGGCTTTACATCGTGTGTCGCTATGTAGAAAAGAAGATTGTATCGTTTGTCTTTGTAAGAACACGTCATCACTGCTTGTCCCAAGGTTTGAACTGAATCTCCACTATACGACATTAGCTTTGTATTTGTTTTGGTAACTTGTTGTTTAGCTTCTGTGACTTTGTCGAACAATTTTTTAGAAAGCACATTACATTTTGCGCCTGTATCCACCTTCACGTTCACCAAATGTCTGCCAAACTTGAGTTCAGAATACCACTCGTCTTTGCTTTTTTCTACAGCTTCAATATTCATTCGATAGTCGACTTTCGAGCTTGTGCGTTGTTGCGTAGGTGTGATTGCATTAACAGCACCAATAAACAATTCTTCGTCACTAACTTCATGAACTGTTCTTTGTGACTTTTGTGTAGACGTTAGACATACCCGAGCAAAGTGGTTTTTCTTATGACATTTGTGGCATATTTTTCCAAAAGCTGGGCATTGCTTTGGAAGATGTTTTCCTCCACAGTTTCTGCAATTGTTCTTTAATACGAATCTTTGTCCTCGATGTTTATCTTCTTTTGTTTGACGTAAGTTTGTGTAACTTCCTCTTGAGGTTTTCGAATTCTTCCTAGCCTTCAGTTCATCGACATCTTGATAATTAGTAAGATCTTTTACTTGTTGTTCCGACAATTCGTTTGCACTGCATATGTTTAGAGCCTTGTCTAAAGTTAAACTTGTTTCGCGAAGGAGAATCTTTCTTACTGCATCACTGTTAATCCCACACACAATACGATCTTTAATAAGTTCGTTCTCGAGGTCACCAAACTCGCACTTTCGAGCAATACTTTTCAAATCTGTAACAAAGGAACTAATCGACTCTGACGGACTTTGCTTCCTTGTATGAAATAAATGTCTTTCGAATGTTAAATTCTTAAGCGGCATACAAATTTCTTCAAATTTCTTCGCTAGAATTTCTAGATCGTCTTTGTCTTCCTCTTCGTTGTAGGTAAAAGAATTATATCTTTCAACCGCATCTTTGCCAGCTAGATTTAAGAGGATGCATGACTTTTCTTTCTTTGATTTCCGACTATGTCCTGCAGCAACAATGTATATTTCATAGTTCTGTTTGAAGCGACGCCAATTCTCAGCAACGTTGCCTTCAAACGAGAGTCGTGTTGGCCTAGAAAATCCTTCTGCTATTCGATAAGAACAAACTTTTCCTAATCGCTACCACCATGTAACAAGTCTTGTATTTTAATGCCGGGCTTAGATAAACACAGGTTCTTATATACATTACACATGCATATTAAATAAGGAATTACCTACGTCATTACAGTATATAAATATAATTAGGCATGCAATGTCACAACTGACACATTCAACCATGTCATCTTCCTCCCTGACATATGGAAGGCGACATCTACAGTAAATTGGTATAAGAACCTTGTGTGATGTTTGTTCAGGGCTTGACATTCTTGGTACAGATGGAAACATTTGCATTTAATTTTGCCTTTAGTAAAACAATTCCACAAGTGACTTCGGATATTCCTCCTTTTGAAAGTTATCTTGCTGGGATCCTGTCCATAACACAATGATGTAGCAAAAGCAATGGCAAATATACCACAGTCATATCCATTTGTCTGTTGGGTGACTGGCTTTCGATAACATTTTCTGACTGAAGGTATAGCAGACTAGCAATTTGCTTTTTAACTGTGTTACTAATTCCTGAGTACATACTGTCATAGAGTTTAACAGCATTATTTTGGTTACAATGAATGTTACTAATGCATATCCAGTGATTCGCACCAGTGTGAAGAACTTGAATGAATTTACCTTTCATGACATCAAACTCTTGCACCATACCTAATGTTGTTGCTTGGAGGCCTTCCATGCTTGGGAATTGTTGCTTCAACAAATTTTGGGCCTTGCCAATGTGAATGTCTGTAAGCAGACCATTTTTGATAATGACGTCTTCATCATTTTCATTTAATTGATAATTTGGTGTCTTCATCTTGCTTAGTAAACTCACATCCGACTTCCTTTCCTTCACAATCTTGCACTCATCTTCTTCACATGGCTGCTTCCTTGTATGATCATGCTTGAATTTCTTTGATGGTATGCTTGTTTTTGTTGGTTTGCATCTCTTGTTTTGTTGCTTTTCCCAGTTCTTTTGAAGTTCCTGTACATGATATTGTCCTCCAAATTCTAGGTAGCTTTCAGCTTCAAAATAAGACAATTTTAAAATGGCCAGACTGAGAAGTGTAAGAGCTTCAGGGAAGATAACTTTGGTAATGAAGTCTATTCCAGAAGATGGAAACCATCCAAGAAGTTTACTTACAATAAGGTCAGATTGCTTCTCAGTAAATCCTCGAAAAAAGACATTTACTGATAGGTCTCTCTTTTTTAGGTTTGGAGCACTCTTGCTGAAACCTGATTTGAAAACTTCACAACGCCAGCATTTTTCTTCGCATTCTAATTTGTTTATTAAATCATTCTTAATGCATGAAAGGTGTAATAGAAGGGCACTTTTTTCCATACTTTTTATTTTTTCATCAAATTTTTTGTAGGCCTGTTTGCTCAAAGACATTGATTCTTGGTTGTTTGCGTCTGCTGTTTTTTCTTTTGTGCTTTTTCTTTTCTTCATCTTTTCTTCCATCATTCTCTTCTTCTATCTCTTATCTCTCTTTCTTGTTCTTCTTTTTCTCCTCTCGATTCTTTTCTTCTCTATCTTTTCTTCATTTCTTCTTCTTTCTTTTCTTCTTTCTTCCCTAATCAATCATTTTCCTGCTATCTTCTCTTCTTCTGTGCTCTTGTCTTCTTTCTTCTTGTTTTTCTTTTCTGTGCTTTTTCTTCATCCTTTATTTCTTCAACTTCCAGTTTTCTTCATCAAACTCTTCCAGTATTCTCTTCCCTGTCAGTTTTGCTTCTGAACCTGTGTTTGTGCACAAAGAGCTTTATTGTTCTCCTGTTTGTAGAGCTTCAGGTTTTTAATTGATTGTTGTCTTCCTGCTTTGTTTGTTAATGGATTTAACAACCTGCAAACACCCCTATTTACATCAACCTCCATAACTTTATACGGGCCATTCCATTGATCTTCCAGTTTATGCCCTTTCTTTGTTTTCTGTAGCATGTTACAAAGCAAGACAGTATCTCCATCCTTGAATTGGCATACAGGTTTACCCCTTTTTTTCTGATACTGTGCTTGTTGTTTTTCCTTGGCTTTTTTGATGTTGGAGTCAACAATGGGGAATATGTTATCCCTCATTTGAGACATTTGCTCGACATGTTTTTCTATGGCTACTTCACTGTTCACATCCTGCCCTGCATCAGCTCTGCAATGCCATTTTCCTCAGTGAGGTCTGTCTCACATTTCTCAGCTTCAAAGAGAAATCTTGGATTTCTTCCAAACATTAAATAGAATGGACTGTATTTAGTGGTAGCAGACTGATTTGTATTAATTGCAAAGAGTGCTCCTTCCATATATTCAACCCATATGTCGGCTTTACTATCCATAACTTTCTTGAGAGTTCTTAATAGAAAAAATAACAGAGGAAATTGGTCTATAAGAATACAAGTTAAGTATACATGTTAATTTAAAAATACTTTTTAATCGTCTCATTAGTTCTTTCATCTTGGCCATTTGATCGAGGGTGGTATGCTGAAGTAATGTAATGATGGATTGTGTCAATAGGAATTTGTTTCCCTTTTTTGATTTTGTATGTGCATCAATGAGATCAATACCAATCAGGTACCATACTCGAGGAACCACTTTGAGTGAAGAACGTCACACGTACTTTTTTCTGCTGCATTACGCTGACATCTATCACATTGTTTTAACTAGGAAAACATCAAAGATTTGTAAAATATGATTGTCATTTTAAAATTTTCATGTTATTACTGTTGCACTTGTTAATATATTTTCATTACATTTATAACATTCTTCAATTTGGTTATTTTGTAATAGATTTATAGTTTACCATTTCAACTGTGTCTTTGTAACAATCTGGCCAATAATATCTATCTCGTATCTTCTTGAAGGTATTGTCTCTTCCACTGTGGCCTGCATAAGTTGCCGAATGGCATTCTTCGAAAACCCTTGACTTTTGATCTTCACATATATAACTAAGCGTTTAACTGTGCCTTCTTTTGTCTTCTCCAAGTACAACAACGAGTCTAATTTTTTATCATATTCAAATTTTTTTGAAAATTTGCCCAAAACAAGTTTGTCTTGCTTGGTAAAACACTTGGGATACACGGAATGTTTAACATACTGAAGTAGATTTTTATATTTTGTTGGATCCATCACGAATTTTTGAAATACTGAAATTTGGTTTTGTTTCGCGCAAAATTGTGTTGTCCCCGCTAAGTCAGGGGAAATCTTTTAATCCACAGTAGGGAAACCCCTGAAACAAGCGTAGGAATGGGAACAAGTATAGGGAAACCCATATCACTAGTGATTTGTGAACCCTGAGTGGTCGGATGGGGATACCTAAAATACGGCAGCCATTTTTGCCGGGGATGCCCAAAACACTAGTGATTTAAGTACGGGGATACCCAAAACACGGGGATACCCATATCACTGTGACACCGGCTCTTTACCATAAAGCCTGGTTCACATATGCCTGCGGTGTGCCTGCGAAATGACCGTCGACAAGACCTGCGCTTATTTATTGTATATGTGAACAATCGCTCGACGGTAACGCAGGTTATCTGTGTCAACATAGGCGGCCTGCCGGGAAAGTTGACTAGAGTTCAACTTTCCCGGCAAGTTTGCGATATGTCTGCGGTATACGGCGGCAATTACATATATGTGAATGGTCCGCCGGTATGCCTGAATTTGTCGAATCCCACAATGCATCGGTCTGATGTGGATAACATGGCGGACGAAATAGCAAAACGCACAATACAAAGCACCGAAATGGACGAAAATAACAATTCAGACACCAATGAAGTTATTGAAACAGTCAAGAACAAAGCACTTATGGATACCATACGTATATATCGTGCTAACGATAAATCGTGTCCAGATTACAAAAATCAAAGGATAAAACAAAACGCTTGGCAAGCTGTGGCAGAAGCTTTGGAATTGGACGTTGCAAGTGTGCAAAAAAGATACAACACAATACGAACAAATTTCTCCAAGTACATAAAGAATAAAGGGAAAATCAGGCAGTGGTCGGGCAGATATTGAAATCAGGCCTGATTTAGAACATCTGCGATGGTTAATTACACATATTCGACATCGTCAGACAACAAGTAATTTTTCATCTTCCACGAACTATCCTCTTGGGCAAACTTCCCATGCATCAATAGAACTAACTGATGAGGGAAGCGAATCTAGCAAGGTTAGCACGGTGTTTGTAGACGATGATTCGGACGATATATCAGCCAGTTTTTCTGATCAAACCTCATCCAATGGAGGACAAGACTTGGATGCAGATATTGGTAGTGGTAATAATGATGCTATACAGATGGTCAAAGATAGTAAAACGCTTGGCAAAAGAAAGATATGCTCATTAGAAGAAGAAAAATATTGCAGGCCATGGGCAAAGAATAAATAAGTTAACACAGCACTTGGGTTTGAAAAGGAAGTCATGAAGACCATGCATGGCATCAATTCCGCCATATTGCAACTTTCTTCTTCAGATGCTGACATGGGAAACATTGCCAAAAATGATGAAGATACATTGTTTTGCTTCAGCTTGGTTTCCAAATTCAAACGCATCCCAACTTCACACAAGTCTTTGCTCCAGCTAAATATTTTGAAAGTGATGAACGAAATGGAAATGGAATGTAATGCCCAACAACAGGCCACACAAAAAAAAATCCATACTTCTTCTCACCCCCCTAACCCATGGATGCAGCACCATAATTTAAGTCAGCAAAGGATGAACTTCAATAACAATCTTGACCAAGGAGATTGTTAGTTTCTTAAAAGAAGTTAAGAACTTTAAATAGATGAATTATTATTGCTTGTTTACAAATTCCTCCCTTTACATTAGGGTTTTCAGGATTACATATAGACCCAAATATTGTATTTTGCAAATTTCATATTTAGCTGATAAACATTTCAGCATCTTTTTCCACAGTATCTAACATAATCTAGCTGCCAGGGCAAGGCTCCATAGTTGCTGTTAAAATATTCACGATAATGCTCTCTCACAGACTTCGCAGTAAATGAATAAGAATTGCTCCCAACTCGTCAAACTGCTTGCAAAGTGCTCTCATCCCCTTGCGTGATGTGTCTCCATTCCCCATTAATAATATTCCCAGATCCATCTTCAGCATCAACAAAACCTTTTGGAATATAATATGCGTTTTGAGTTAATGACAAATAATTATGCAAGCATACAGTTGCTTGAACAATAAGATCTACAGTTGTAATTGCAGCTCGAATTGGTCGTCTATAAATTCTCCACCTAGCTGCCAGTATTCCAAAGGTGTTTTCAATGGTTCGTCTGCATCTAGACAATCGATAATTAAATATAGCTTGTTCTTGAGTAAGACCTTTTCCAGGAAATGGTTTCATCAACCAGGTTTTCAACGGAAAAATGTCATCTCCAGTGATAACATAAGGCAACATATATTCACTAACCATAGACGGTCCTGGTATGCCAAGTTGCCCATTTTCTATTTTTTTATTTATCTCAGTTTGTGAAAATATAGCTGCATCATTGTTACGCCCGTAGCTTCCAATGTCCACAAATAAAAATCTATACTTTGCATCACAAATCGCCATGATCACAGTACTGTGATAATTTTTATAGTTGTAAAAGAGAGATCCAGCATTTTTGGGACAGTCGATGTTTACATGCTTTCCATCGATAGCTCCAATACAATGAGGGAACCCCCATTCCTGAAGAAACTCTTCTGCAACACCATGCCATTCCCTTTCTGACTTGGGAAGCTTCAAGTACTCATCTCGTAATGCTTTCCAAATTGCATCAAACTTCTCTTATGATCATACACACTGTGCTTCTACCAATTCGAAAATTGAATGATTGGGATTCTTGTGAGTCACCTGTGGCAAGATATCGTAGTGTAACCACCAATCTTTGTTTAATTGAGATTGTTTCTCTACTCCGGCAACTTCGTTTCTTCATATATGGTGCAACTAAACTTAACAAATGCTCCAATCGTTCAGGACTCATTCTTGTGAACCTTGAAATAAAAACGTGTTCATCTCAATTCTAGTAACAAGTTTGCACACAAACGCCTAATAACATTTTCAAATATAAAACTCATATAATCGAGCAATGCTCCTCGCATAAAATACAGCCCTATACCTGAAAAAGTATTCACGATCATGCAACTGTAATTCTTTTAATAAACAGTGAAATTGACCGTAGTTCTTGCGTTGTTGTAGCATTGATCTCACCCAAAACCTTCTTTTCCTCTTTTGTGCTCTCATTTTTCTTCCCTGCACGTAAGTATTTACCAAAGTTAACAGTAATGAGTAATTTGAAAGAAGTCAAGCGTCGTTTATTTACCGCCATTTTTGTTTTGAAGAAAATTACCACATAAAGAAATCGCAGGCAAGTGCAGAGATACCGCAGGATACCGGCAGGCTGCCTGCGAAATCATACCCAAATCATACCGCAGGAAAAGCGCAGGCACACCGCAGACATATGTGAACTAGCCTTACCATAAACGTGTCGTGTGCAGTGTGTATAGCCATTCACATTTGACCGTTTGTTCTGATTTAACTTGAAAAAGTATTTCATTCGTCCTAAATCTGTTGAAAATGGGGTCTACACTTAAAGAAACATTTTCCGTTGAAGAAGTTGTGAATTGGCTGGATTTAAATGGTTTTCAAGACATCAGCCAAACGTTTTGTGGTAGGTATTGACTTTGCAATTGCATCATTTGTATTTAGTATTTTGATTATTTTACTACTGCAATAAGATTCCGAATTCGGTTCAGTTTGGGAAACTTTTGTGTTGCGCTGTACTATTGCGATGTCAACCGAAGGTACCATGTGCTATTTTACCGCTATATTTTATTCCTCATCGTGCGAGTTCTAAATCCGTGACTTTTTAATATTCGATCGATCGTTGCTACTTGAAAACAAATTCTATATTTTGATATCAAAATTATACTTAGACGAGGGCATTGATGGCGATGCAATTGGTTGTCAGGATTGGCCCCAGGATGAAGTTATTGAAAGCTATCAAACAAATGAACACTAGATGCTCGACTTCTACATCTGAGTCTGCTAGTGACTTATCTACATGTGATATGCTGGCGAAGTGGCAAGACTCCAATTCTCAAGGAAATGCATCAAATCCTGGTGGGCAATCTGGTGTGTGTGAATCACTATCAAGTGCAAGGTAATGAATTGTATTAAAAGACACTGAATTGTAAATATATCTATCATGAGGATGCCTGTGTGTGTGTGTTTCATAGCAGTGACAACTCAGTAGCAAAAGGCAGAAAACAATGGACATCGCCGTTTGTTCTTCCTGACTATTTCCCGCCTTCGGTTGAAGAAACACTTGCAAAGAAATTGAGAATGCCAAAGCAAGTTAGATGCAAGTTCATACAAACAATTTACGACAAAATTTGCCTATTTACTGTGTAAGTTCATTCCATCATTTATATTTTCAGCAACTTTCTCTTGATTTTATCCTGCTGGGGTGTATTATGGCATATTTGTGTCATCGAGAATGGCTTTTGTTGTATAGTTCTCCCACTCCAGACCAAAGGCGAGATGTTTGTCGTGCAATAATTGCAAAATACCCTTTCTTTCTGATGCAAGTGGTGGCTATGTAAGTCTTTTATTTATAATTGTATATAGTCTTTTCTTATTATTCATCATGTTTGTATAGTTATAATAAAGAAAAAGACATAACAAAACACGCTGAAATCTGTATTGTTTGTCCATAAACTTGCATACTGATGGCTTGAAGAATTTTATGACAGGTTTCATACAGGCAATTTTAGTGAATTACTCATATGTGATTACCTTTTTAGGAAATTTGGTATTGGTACCTTGGTGAGAAAGTTAAGAATGAATTAAGAAATGAAAGAGCAGACCCTGTTGTCCTATCTAGAAAAAGAAAAAATGTTGATGGCAGTCCAGCTGCAACTAAAATCAGAGCAGCTGTTCGACAAGGAATGTGAACTGGACACCTCCACCAATAGATGGCGAGGACGATGTCTGTTCCCAAGCACATGTTTCGTGGATGAAGAAGGAATTGAAAAGAAAACAACCCAACCTCACTTTGGTAAACAAAAAGATGGAATTGACATATTCCTTTAGGAGGCGTATGATAAATGAGGAAAAACATTTGCTGAAGGATATTATGGAACAATATCCTTTCCTGTTTAAAAAAGCCCATGTATGTATTATTCAATACAAATGCATGTTTTGTACATGTTGTTGTGTAATCCTCCTTTGATTTTTATAGCTAAAATCTGAGTACAGTCGTTTGATGGCAGATAGCTCGGCTGCTGATTGTATTCAAGGCAATTTGCTAGAAGTATCACCCAACATTATCAGAGTAGCAGAGCAAAGGAAATTTGTTTCAGAAGAAGCTAATAAGCTGCTGCTTCTTTGTAAACCTACAAATGACTCTAGTTGTAATGATGATGAAGAGAATGAAAATATTTTATCTGCAGGTAAACATGTCTCACTATGTATGTATAGAACATGCTACATATGTACTGAGTTATTATTTAGTCATTTTGACTTGAAATATTTAAATAAATCATCTTTTGTGCCCATCTGGTCATGCTGTTTTCCCCTGAAAAAAAATTTGTCATGCCTTTGTTTTTCGTAAATTGCAACTGATCAATTTAATATCTGTTTATTTTTAATGCATGTTTTATTACTTTACATAGAGAACAAAACTTTTGTTGCAATGTGTTTGTTGCCTCATTTACTGGAAAGGAAAACAAAAACTAATAAAAGTCCTGAGTCTTACTTTTACCTGGTTAGTATTGATTACAGAATATGGATATTTGTATTGAAACTCAAATAATGCAGTGCCTAACTGCTTGATTAAATTTTTTGTCTATTTTCAGTTTGGTGAAGCAGAAGAAGTTGCCATGGCAGCAAGACCTGGAATGGCCCCATTTTTGGTTATCAGTGGCTCAGTGGATGATCCCCATCCGGATGATATAACTGTAGTTGCCGAAAACCACATTGTTACAAGGTCTGCAGGAATTCTGGATGCACTGGAGTCAATGCTTATATTGTATTACGTATGTAATATTCAATACCCTAAAGAATGTGTCAACACATTTCATTTCCTGCAGAGAAATATCATGAAAGTGTTTGACACCCAAAAGGTGCCGACAAAGGTGTTGGTGTTAATGTCAGAGTTATCGCAACTATGAACCAGAATGTGAACAATAAAATATATGGTTATAGTACAGGATTTAATGATATAATGTAGTTTTATTTAAAGTTTTGTTAAGGTTTTAAATAGTTATGTAAGTGGGGGTTACATTTAATAACTTTGTAGTATTTATTATGCTGAAATTTACTTTCATGATACATTTATATGCTATATTGCTCTTTGTTTTGTTTTTCAGAGCGTTGTCAATTCAATTTAAGAATGCACTGTCTAATGTATATGTTTACACTACTCTAACTATGCTTACACATTCGTAGTGTAAACATACACTAGAGATATTACACCATTAGAGTGTATTATTATATCCCATTTGTATATTTACCTTTGAGGTGTATATTTACACTCTCTTGATGTAAAAAATGAGGCAAGAGCAAATACACCCGATGGGTGTATTTTTACAATGTCAATTTACACCTCTTTGGTGTTCCTACAGAGGCAGAAATTTACACCATTTTTCGTGTTCACAGTACACTTCTAAATTTAGAGTGCTCTATCCGTGCGATTTTGTTTGCGATAGTTTCTATCACAAAATCCCATTATATATACAAAGTAATATATAGGAAGTTTATATTTGATGATTTGATGATTTACCGTATAAAACAGTGCTCGATGCCCGAGAGCAGATCGTAAATATGTGTAGTGGTGTTGAGAAAAATCACAAAATAACAGATTCATCCCGGATGAATCAGTCCCGGATTCATCCCGGACTACAGATTCATCCGGGATGAATCTGTAGTTTTGTGATTTTCTCAACACCACTACACAAAGTATATATATATATATATATATATATATATATATATATATTATGGATAATATTCCTGGATAAAAGAGCGCAATATTCTATATATTAGAAGAGCGTAAGATAAAATGAACTAAAATAAAATAAAATGGACAATTGTTTGCTGTCGCTACTCAGAGTTTCACGCCGTAGGGCGATCTTCAGGCAACTGACAGATAATATTATATTTGCTGACTATATACATCGACTAAAAGGTGTTAAGTTACATGACGGCATGCACTAAACATATCGGAACGTTTATTTAAAATGTTCTTTTACGTCCTTTCAGGATAGTTTCTTCAAGGCAAAGACGGCAGTTCTTTTTTTGTTCGAGGTGGAAGTTGTTTGATGAAGTCCCATTTAATGTTGTAGTTACGTTTGTTTTCTTTCAGTGTCCACGTGTATTTAGAAAGTTCTGTCTCGTTGCAGTATTTAATGTTCGTAATTGATTTAATGTGGTTTCGATATCGTGTCTTAAAAGCGCATGCAGTAACACCTATGTAAGTTTTTGTTTCGTTGTTGTCAGTCGTTGTCACGTCGGCTTTGTAAATCACGTTGGGTTTCAGGCAATTTCCATTTGTCGGGCATAGATGTTTCTGTCTGCAGTTACATTTCTTTGGTGGGTTGTTCTTGTTCTGGGTTGTGTCTGGGTTAAGTCTTTACCAACACGTTTGATGTAACCATGGGCAGCTATGATGGAGCGGAAGTTTGCGAGCTTGTAGGGCTATTCTTACTCAACCAACTACAGCAGCGGTACGGAAGCAACGTCGGCTTATACCGTGACGATGGCCTTGCAGTCATAAATACGAAATCTGGAAGACTCTGCGACAAAGAAAGAAAAACCCTCTCACACCTATTTGACGAGCTTGGACTAAAAATCACAGCGATGACAAACCATGAACGCACAAACTTCCTTGACGTAACATTTGACCTTAGCAACGACACCTACAAACCATATAGAAAACCCAACGACGAGCCCCTCTACATTCACAGATCTTCCAACCACCCACCATCAGTATTACGCCAACTACCCACATCCATCAACAACCGAATTAACACACTCTCATCTGACAAAGACACCTTCGAAAATGCCGCACCAATTTACAACCAAGCTCTTAAACAAAGCAACTTCACCACCCAACTCACCTTTAATCCATCAAACATCAATGTAAACACCACGTACAACAGAAAACGTAACGTCACTTGGTTTAACCCACCATACAGCAAAACGTAAAACTCACATCGCCCATGACTTCCTACAACTTATCGACAAACATTTCCCACCAAATACTATACTCTCCAAGATATTCAACCGACACACAATACGCGTAAGCTACAGCTGCGGCGAAAACAT